TGTCTTTCCATCTATCAGCCAGCTAATCACTATTTCGATATGTTTATGATATTAAAGACAAAAAAAGAGCCGTCTTATCTTTAATTTTATTAAAACAAAATTTAGAGCGACGACCAGACGAAATTTACTGATGTGGAATTACAGAATAATTAACGATATTAACGGTATATATAAAACGCTAGATTGTCGTTTCATCGTAGCGTTCGAATGCGACACGCGCTGTCGTATCTCTCTGGATATATCCCGGTATTAAAGATTTTTTATTTTTCAACCATGATACGTATTTAACTGGCGGGTTTTGCGTGTTCACGTCTCCATATATCCGACTACTAAATAGCCGCGCGTATTACTCGCGATGCGGCAGCAGCAGCCGAGAATTACGTAGCCGAAAAATATTGCGGAGCATAAATTATAAGCCGGATAAGTATATTTGCAAAATGTACGCTCTTTCCCAACGGTATATAATACGGCAGCGGCAAACTCCCACTATAAAATGTACAATTTTTCTGTCTTACTCGTTTCTAGTATTCCTATTTGATTCTTTATTATGTAGGGAGCTATGGATAATAATTTTATAGAATTCTACTAATAATACAGCGAAAAGTACAAATTTATATCATAAAAGGTATACAACGGAATTTTATTTGAATTCTGTTTCGTGATATAATCAAATTATACCTCATTACGTCGTATATAGTGAATCGAGATAGAACAAAATATATATCGAAATATTTAAATATTCGAATTCATTTTCGAGCGTATATATGTTAATCGCGTAATAGTCCGTACTACATACGATAGATCCGTTGCACTCGTAAAGTTTGCGAGACTAATTAAAAATTTATTAAAATTATGAAAGAGCTGCACTCGGTAGAGTGATACGGCTAACATTTAATTTAAGCGACGGTGTAAAAAGGAACAACGGCGGCAAAAAGCGAGAGTCGAAAAATTCGTTGAAAGAGTCTCACGACAGGAGGCCAGCTTTCATAGGCGATGTGAATTTAGATGCTTTCATGACGTATTAAATTCACTTGTACGCCGGGCTCCATGTTTCAACGGCGTTTCAGCGGTATATACGCACCACGATTCAGCGGTATCGTCGTAATTTCGGAAGAGCGTCGGAAACACGTATACACTGTTTTCTCGATTTTGTGTCGGAAACACCGGCTATTCCGGATTTTCTCTCTCGGCTTGTACATAATTTTCAGAAATCCGAAAAAGCGCGCACTCAATATGATCTCTCTCTATCTCTTTCTGATGAGTTGCAGTATAAAATAAAAGTACGGAGTAAGATTTATTATGACGCATGACAATACCCTTTTATTATCGCGCGCACGAATCGTACTGGAAAAGTATTGTATGAATATTGGGTGAAATTATATTACATAAAACACCCAATATACGTGTAATTTTTTTTTTAGGAATTGCAGTTTTTTTTACATTTATTGAAATGACTTATGATATTCATTTTCTATAGCAGAGAGCATATAATTTTCAAATAAATAAATAATAAAATAGGCATATGGAAGTCAGGCGTAGAAATTATTGCTCGAAATTAGTCTCAATTATAATAAAATAAATCTAATACAAACGTATACTAAAAAATAAACCGATATTCAATGATTATATGTTTTCAGCCTTTTTTCAGATCACAATTATTAACAAAAATAATTCATTTGAAGATCGTAATGAGTCACTTTTAACTGTTGGAAATATCGTTCACATATACAAAAAATATCGTATTGTTAAGAAAAGTAATTATGAATTATTCGTTTTCGTTCTTAACTGATTCTTATGTGCCCTCTATGAACTTGATATTGATTTTAAAAATAATTACTCCATTTATTTTCTTCTTTTTAAGTAATAGTTATAACAAAGAATATGCTTTTGATAATAATCTTAAAATATGTATACTTATATAAGTTTTAGAAAGATTCATTATTATGTATACTCTATATAATAAGCAAGAATTAATTTTTTTGTAAGAATATAAAATTATCGAAAAAAAAACTTTATATACATATATATTGTTTTTTTCGATCAATTTTACATTCTTACAAAAAAATTAATTCTTGCTTTGAGTACATAATAATGAATCTTTAATAATGAATCTTTTTTTATATAATAAACAAACTGAATTTGTTTTAATGTAATAATCTCGTTTAAAGAATATCAAACTCACTAGGATTCAGAATATATTTTAAACAAATTTGTGATGGACTTGCAGTAGAGTTGCAGATATTATGAACTTTTTAAATAATTAAAACAATTATTACTTACTACTGTATTATTACTAATACAGTATGTATACTTTTTTATGTATACGAATATTGAACAACCGCGTGGCAAAAACCTCTGGACGTGCTGAAGATTGTTTTTCAGTCAAGCCACGCGTATTGTAAAAATTAACAAAATATTTAAAATTGTAAGTAACTCACCATCGGGAATCCAAATCGAGTCGCATAAATATATAATTTTCACAGCGCGTGCATTTACGTTGACGATAAGTTCGCTCGGTAACGTTCTAAGCTTCATATTTCATGTATCGTACGACAAAGATAATAAGCCTGATTTTAAGCCTAAGATAAACAGATTCGAGAACCTCTCTGTTCTACAGCCAATCAACAGGCTTAAAAAGCCTCGTCGTACGACACATGAAATATCAGCTTCGGCTATCTTTTCGACAATATATTAATGAACCGTTGAAATTGGTTATGAGACGAGCGGTAGCGGACATGCAAATTATCATAAATAATTACGTTCTTCCGTGGCTGAAGAAATCATGGGGTGCACCTGCCCCTAATAGCTTCACACAGAAGCACGTCCGCGTGCTCTCGTGTTGGATAATAAATTCATAACGATCTCGCCATTTTTATTTCACAATCAATGAATATATTACTCGATAAGTTTCTCAATTCGATAAGATTACGAACTAAGAAGAAAAGAAAATTCAACGGTTAAAAAAAGAAAAAAAAAAAGACAACTCGCCTGGCGCGTACAAACGCAATAAGTGCAACAACCAGCGACATTTACGGGCACGACCGGTGCGGTGGCAAACGTGCGCGCGCGCAATCTTGCGAGTAAAGCTCGACAAAAAAAAGAAAGTGAGAAAAAGTCGTTTGGATTTTCTTACATCAGTCGATAGATAAATACATGATAACCTGGATGATTCGTCAGGAAACAGGCGTATCGACGATCGTGGGACACCTGCGACCATCCGCGACGAAAAGTGACGAAATGTGCGATTCCTTCGTTCTGAAACCAAGAGGTACGAAAGGACGATGACAACGGCAACCAAACCAACGGACACATTCGCCATGGTGGTGGTGGTGGTGGTGGTAGGAATGGTGGTAGTAGTAGTGGTAGCAACGGCGGCGGCGGCGGTGGTGGCGGTGGCGGCGACAGCACGGCGGAGACGGAGACGGCGCCGGAGGAGAACGTTCGGACGAGATCGTAGCCGCTCGGACGGAGTCGGTTCGCCGCCTTGCCTGCCATGACTGGCTGAGCGCGGCATCGCGGGGGAGCGAGGTGGCGCGTCGGCGAGGGAAACCGCCGCGGTGAATCCGGCGTCGTGATTGGTCGTCGCGTGGGAGAGCCGCCCGCCCGAGCTCACCGTCGCCGACAGTCGGCACCGAGCATTCAAGTTGGCCGTATCGAGACAGGATTCGGTGAGTCCCGCGGGTCGAGAGGAGATCGTATTTAGTTATACGGCGCGGGAACGGCACACGCGAATATCTCCCGAACACAAATTTTTTTTGCTTTTACGGGCACGATGACCGCTCGGCGCGTGCACCGTTCGCAACCACAGCAACAACAGCTACAACGGGAGCAACAACAACAACAACGACAGTGCCGTAGTTGTCGTCGTGGTGCCACCGTAGTCGCGCGTCGTGTCGATCGCACGGGCCCGTTGACGGAATCGCAGTGTCGTGCGCTCGCGGAAACATCGTGGCCGCCGTCTTTGTGCAAATATGCTACGTGCAAGCCGGGCTCGCGGTGCGCGCACTGAGGGGTCCACCCGCAGCTAACGTCAAACGCGCGAGGGAGAAGCGAATGGAGAGGAAGAACAACGCGCTCCACTCTGCGCATTAATACGTCACGGCCTGCCTTCTCGCGTACACCATCTATCTACCTCTGTCCGTCGCATCTTCGCGCTTCTCTTACACTCTCTCTCTCTCTCTCTCTCTCTTGATCATCCTACGCGCCGCTTCACGCCCTCCTCCTACTCCTGTGGTAGCGACGACCTTCCCACGCGTATCTCTCTTTCTCTATCTCTTTCTCTCCGATAACGACACGCCGCCGCCGCCGCCGACGACCGGAAATTAAACTCGCGCGCGAAAAGCGCGGGGAGAGAGAGAGAGAGAGGCGCGCCCGGCCGTCTCGGCGAGACGACGACGTAGCGCCGCGCGTCGTCTTCGTCGTCGCGCGCGCCCAAGTCTCTATTCCGTCTCTCTGACTCCAAGATCGACGCCGCGCGCGCGGTTGTCATTTTGACTGGCTGCGGCGTCACGTCGGATCCGGTATCGCGATAATACGCGCGAGAAAACCCGGCTCTTTGTCTCCTCGAGTCAAATGGTGCGCGCGGCCTAACCTCGTCGTGTCGTTCAACTGTCAGCGCGCGACGGACAACACGGAGTAGTGACGGTGAAAAACGGTTTTGTCCTGTGTGCTTATACCTAAAATACCAAGAGAGAGTTGGCCTCTCGATCGTCGTCGTTGTTAACGAATCGAAACTTGCAGTGATTCGCGATATCGCGATCGAAAAAGTGTTAACGGAATCGCCGCCGTCGGCCGCCGCGCCGTGGACTCGGAAATCATTCACCGACGGCGACGGACGCGCGACAACACGTTCGACTTTTCAAAACTCCTCGCCGCGCAGCGTGGACTTGGGTCGCGTTGACCGGCCGCCGACGGACAACACGGAGTCGACTGGCAAGTAAGGAATACGAGAGAGAAGAAGACCAGGGAAGACGGTGGCCGTCGCTCGCGTGCCCGCAATAATGCCGCACGTGAGCAGTAGCGGCGGCGGCGACGATCTCGGCAGCGAAGACGAGGTCAAGGTCTTCAAGGATGAGGGCGAGGAGGAGAAGAGGTCCTCGGAGAACCTCACCGAGGACAAGAGCGACCTCATTGACCTCACGGAGTCCGAGGTGCGGATCATACATTTTCCTTCCACTCCATTTATCGTTGTGTTTTCGTCGCCGTTCGTTTCGTGTTTCGCGATCTATACACATCCTTCCACAAATGTCTCGCAAGGACGCAGGTATTAAGTGCGTGCATGTGTGTTGCAGGAAAAGGGCGCGCTCGCCGGAGGGACCTACGCGACGACGGGAAAAACGTCGGCGAGATCCGACCTCAGTCCCGTTTTCGGTGAGTCTTCATTTCTTTTTTTTTTTCTTTCTCTCCCTCTGACGGACACACTTTCCGGAGTTTATTTATTTAGGCCTTTCACCGAGAATCATATGTTTTCAGAAGTACTGTAAACCGGGGAGGGAAAAATCAGGGAAGAGACTGGGAATTTTGCAAAATTTTCTGGAAAAAAGATTACAAAATTCTTGTCTTTTAAACTCTGATCATATATTCAATGGAATATTTTACCTACCGTTACGTTGACAATGTCAACGTCGGTGGTAATTAACATTTCTATGTTAAATTGTTCCCTGCACGAAATATTCGACGGTTCCCAAATCAGAACGAAAAGCTTCGAGGTACGACTGAAAACGGCAGGGAAAATCGTGACGTCTCCTCGGGAAATCGGGAGGAAAATTCTGAAGCTTTAGAGTGGGAGAAATTTGTGACACGAATGGTATTTTCTACGTCATTCTTATCGCTCTTATTCAGCCTTCGGGTTTCGGTATTTTCCGTCTAGTTATGTCCCCTCGCGAAAACGTGGAAAAGGTGACGATAGTTTGCTTTCCGTCACGGAGAGTCGATCCTCGATATTTCCCGGACGGCGACGGTGGGAAATCATATCGACGCCAATTTCGTCGCGTGAGTTTAATTATTCGTTAGCCTCCCCTGTATTCCTACCAAGTCAACGACGGGATCGATACATCATTCCGTTGCGTCGTGGTAAACAGCTGGCTGAAGGTCTATTTGAACGGAAGTAATGCGTAAGAGCGCTCCTGTTACAAGGTGTAATGTAATTTTAATTTTACAACGCGTCGTATTACAAAACACCGTCGAGTTTTCGTTTCTCCAAAGACTCCTGTTTCTCTCTCTCTCTCTCTCCAAATATGTATATAATCGACGCGTTGTGTATAGAAATGTGCTCCAACTTCAAACTGTACGTTTATCGATTATCCACACATCGCGCGTTAAAAGTAATTCCTTGTTAAAGTATGTTCTATAATTGCGTAAGAGAGCGTAGCGAGCGGTTGTAATTGTAAGAATTAATCAGTGACAGTCAAATACGAGAAGAATATTCGGCTATGATTGGTCAATTCTTAACAACCACTTTCAACTACGCTTACGCAATTATAGAATGGGCTTAAGGGCCTTCAACAATGGAGGGTAATAGGGCCATGGTACACAAAAATACTCAAGCGGTAAAACGTAAGCAGTAAGTGAATTAACCAATCACGGTGGTGGCTGTAAAGCCATGGCGTAAGCAACAACAAATCCAACATGTTGATTTACTTGCTGCTTAAGTTTTTTTTTTTTCCTATATCGTGTTCTTTATGGTGTAGAAATTTTAAATCGTAAGAAATCTCACCGATTACGATTTAGGTCCGTTTTCTTCCAACTTAACGGCTCACTCACTTGATAATATTTATACCACGGCCGGGTAAGTAAATGTTGACGACGTGAGAGTATCATAGTTGGCAGCAGCAATTGATTGCGGAGCACGAGGGAATTAAATAATAAACTATCAACGACTCTTGGCGCGGCGTGACATTTCCTAATAGCGTCCGCGTCTGCAATGAGCTTAGGCTCGATATCGGCGTCATAACGCCACACCAGGTATCTTGCGCCGCCTCGCACGCTTAGATTAACGTCATTTGAAATCGATCGCGGCACGATAAGTGCCTACTCTCGTAGCCGCTTTCACGGTCCGATGATAATCGCGGCTGTGTGTGCGCGCGCGCGCTCGCTCGCTCGCTCGCTCTGTGCCGGCTAGGGAAAATATGTGACTCGGATTCCCGGCGTATGGCTGTGTCCACACGGCGCTCCTATTAATTTCCTCGCCATTACGCCGCATTACGTTGCAGCACGTCGTCGTCACCGTTCGAAAGGTTCTTCTCCGTCGTCGCCGTTGTCGTCGGCAGCAGCAGCGACGGTGGCCTTATTGCCCACACTCTCCCGTCGCAATAATCGCGAACGCCGGAGGCGTCGACGGCGACACTTAGACAATTCTATACGCGTGAGAGAAAGTGAGAGAGAGAAAGAGATATGTGCCTTACGTTGCTCTTATTGGCACAACGTCAATAAAAGCTACTTTGTAAGCCGTCTCGAATCGCGTTCTCTTTCCTTCTTTTAAAGGTCATCGCCTAAACACGGCCGATTGTTGCGCGAGCGATGATTATATAGAGACGTATTAGACGAGTTTGGTAGCACTTCGTGGAAACGCGCTCCTTACACAAATCTAACCACCGGCCAATTTAATACTAGTCGATTTATTACTAAAGGCAGCAATTAATTACTTATTTGGACTACTAAAAGTGCTGAATGACAGTGCTTTTTTGATACTTAAAATAAGTAATTAATCACTGTCCTTCGTTCTATTGGCCAGTATTACATTTTTCTGAGAGATTGTAAATCCAAGTGTGTAAAAAGTGACTACAATGTATGTGTACGATTAGTTTTCCGTGTAAAAATGACACTGGAGCCGGCTATTTATAGTTGATTTTTATATTCGAGACTGTCTTAAGTATAATCTTAAGGTATCATGAACCAATTAGAGAGCATTAGCATCTTAAGACGGTTTTAAAATAAGAACGGACTAAATACCTGTCTATATCACATGTTTAAGGGCCGGTTGTTCCATTTTCGGATAAAATATGTGGTAATTTATCTACTGGATAAGCAAAAGTACAAAAAAGTAAGAGCTTAAAAGAAGTAAGAGAGTAAGATAATGAGCTGAAGTTTACTGAGAGGAGGAAAAACCCAACCTAAATGTGTAAATTTATTTTTGTATGTGGTATAACAAAATGTTATTTTTATTATACGGAAATTTAATCACACTGTTTTTTTCCCACATAGATTTGCAGTGCGATTCATAGAATACACATATCAAGTTTATCATGCATATACAACAAACATTTATATTTATCTTGATCTTATTTTGGTTTATATCGTTGGCGATTATTTCATTGTCTGGAAATTAAATATTTATGCACATATTGGAATGCACATATCAGGCTGTAATCGATTTGGATTCTTTAGAAAACGGTCTTTCGAAGAATAGAAACGTAATACTAATCGCTGGTTGTTGATGCAATCCTTGTATAAAGATGAATGACGGCCGTGAAACGGACGCGATAACATCGCTAAACGCCTAGCAAAAAAATTCAGCTAACGTAAACAATGCAGTGAACTCAAACGTGCAACGTGTACACTCCCATAATACTCTTTAAAAAAAAAAGGAATCAAGGCTACGAATGTGGTTACGTTTCTTGAAACCTCGCTTCTCAATATTATCTACAGATCTCTGCAATTAGCGTAATCAAAACCTGAGGCTACGTTTTCAATGAATTGTATTAAAATTATTTTGCTCCGAGTACTAGAAGTTAAAAGATTTAGAATTAGTGTTCACAGCAAAATATTCACGATTATAATTTAACCCTTCGTCTGTAAAGAATTGGAAAAAAATGTATCGTTTTACATCTCTGTTTTGGATTCTAAACAGTTTTTTTCAATTCCGATATATTTTTTTCTTTTATATAGCAAAAGATACATGTTTTTTATAATAGCAGAATACTAAGGGAAACTGACTATTGAAATTTGACCGTTCTTTAAAAGACCCAGCACGATGCAGGCAAAAGGTTAACGATCGTTTTTTATGACGTATAGAATTTTAGATCAGTTTTTCGAGGAACTTGGGATTATTATTTTTTCAAATTGCTGTCTCTTTTTTATACTTCAGGAGAAAACAACTTGCCCAAAATGTTGCCTCAATGTCTTCCTCATTTTTTAAAAGTTCAAAGGTCGAGTCTACTCCATTTTTTTCAATAATAAAAAAAGAAATCGGGAGTTTACAAGTAACAGATTCGTTCGGAACAAATCGCTTCGACGTGTCAGTAACGTATACAATGAAGTTCGTGCCTTCCGTTCCCGTGACCAGTTCTTTCTCTTTGTCACTGACAAATCGATGTCACGCTACCGTGCACGCTGTCATGCTGTTGCCAAAACATTTTAATGAGTTAACGCGGCCGTACGTCTCCGTATCTTGTATTCGAGATGTTACAGACACGATTACGGTATTATCTGGAGAGCGTGATTATTCCGAGAGGTCGTCTCGGCTCTTAAAAAATACCTCGCGCTTTATCGCTTATGCAATTGCACCGCCGCCGCACGAAATTTCCGTAAATCATTTTTTTTATAATCGCAAATTCGATTTTCAGTTTCTTGTCATTCTCGCCTGTTACGTGTTAATTTAAATGTATAAATCATATTTTTCGAAATATATATGAATACACTTGTATGATCGCATCTAAGATATACACGTGTCGCCCGATAGAATCTTACAGTATTTTTGAGTACGGTGAGTTGGAGCCTAACCCAGGTTGAATTAATGATGTCACATGCTCTACTTTGGTTTGCGATTGGACGAGGTCATGGTTCCTTCGGGTTAATCGACCTGAGTTGAGTTCAAACCCACTGCACTCGAAAACGCTATTACAGTTTCCATTGATTAGATTTCGTTGTCGCACCACGGATCACTCTTGTTTTATGTATGTATACCTATACGGGACTATGCGTGAATTATTGAGGAGAGAGAGTGAGAGAGAGAGTGGAAAGGATTCGTTGCACTCACCGTCACAGAAAACGTGTAAAACGTTACGTCGGGATCCGTTGTAATCGCTTAAGTGGTTAATTATGGCTCTTCAAGGAAGGCCGCGCGCGAGGCTCAAGCGGAATTAATCTTGGCATCGGCCGACTTCAGTAGAGCCGCTTCACGTGTTTTTTTTTTTGTCGCTTGTCCGCATGAAAACTAGTTATTCAGATATGCCGAGAAAGTCGAGATTGTATGTAACACGTCACGTTCTGACATCACTTTTAACCAAACATCACTCTTCGAGTTGATATATCGTACATACACGTGAATCAATGGTGAAGCACAATGTATATGATGCTCATATTGAAACTTGTTTTCCATCATCCGTATAATTTCTGTGCTTGTAATTGAAAAACAAAATAATAGCACAAAC